ACCATATATAAACCAAAAACTTACTGCCCAGTTCCATTTCTCCTTGTGAAAAAGCAGTCAAAATCCATAGAATGAATAACTTTTGCAGCATAATGAGAGAAAAACTGAAACAAAGCATGATACTTGTAAAGAAAAATGTAGGAAAATGAAGAAATATGTAAAGGTACCGAACTAATGCTTCTGAGAATGTAAGATATTTCCAGAATGAAAAGAAAGTTGAGAGCTTATTAAGGGAAAATTTTAGGGAAGAACTGTAGTTTCAAAACCCCGAATGGTCGATCATTGCTAATATACAGGAGTTTAATTCAAGATCAACTCTTGCATCCACAATTAAAGCGTATAAAAAAGCTTATGCTTGACAGTTGCTTTGTGATTTGCGTTGTTTTGTCAAAGTATACCGTAACTGGAACGTGCGACTCTCTATGAATCTCGGCATGGTGTTGATATTGTAGTTGTGGTTCTGAGCCTTGTACAGTTACGATTGTGGAAATACCCCCAAATAATCTTAAAAGCATTTTGGTGCGCAATCGTATCTATGATCGCGGCTGCACTACGCCCAACTGCATCATCTGCCCTGGGGGCAGGGGCGGGGATTGCATGGCGACGGGGGTCGTCTATCTTATCACCTGCGCGAGCTGCGGCGACGAGTACATAGGCGAGACAGCGCGGCAGCTATGTGTTCGCATAAGAGAGCACTTAGACGGCAAAGATAGATCACGAACCTCCACCCCACTAGGCACTCACAGGGCGCTAAAATACGCGGAGACAAATTTCGAAGTCACAGTGAGAATATTACCGTATGAATTACAAACATCGGCTCGCAAATGTTTAGAGGCATTTTGGATTCACGCCAAAAGCCCTAAAATGAATCGCAAGGAAGAATGCCTAGCCATCACACGTGAGCTCGCTCCCTACCTGGGTCAGATCTTCTGACCCGGCGGAGACGTTATAAATAGCCGTGGCATATGCATTCAGTCATTCTACTCTCGCTCTGGCATTAGAACTCTATCGGCGTTTTCAAAAGGTGAGTGCTTGGTTAGGCAGCTAGTTACTATCTACCGAAGCCTTAGAGTTTTGTTTGCATGGCTGCAGAGACGTTTGATCGAATAGTTTGCAAGTCGTACTGTCCATTCCAGGCTCTGAAGAAGGCGACTTGCCGAAACGTCAGCCAATAAAGTGTTAACAATCTCGGGTCAAGGCTCAGAACCACAATTACAATATACCGTAACTTTTCGAAGTTTCTATGCTCTTCTCTAGAGCAAGAAAATGATCAAACACAATAATTTAAGCTATCCTGCTAGAATTGTGGTTACGGGTGAGTTAAGAGAGTTAAGAGACTCAAAACGAGTGAAATGCTGGACTGCAGAAAAACATGAATACTGGAATTATGAAATCTAGCAGAGCCAGTTATAGCAGCTAAGCAAAAACGCCAGACTAAAAAAACGGAAATGAGAAAGCCCTGTGCACTTTGGCAAAATACTTTTTCGTTCACATCGCCCGGGAAACGACAAATTGCACTTATGTATAGTTTTGAAACACTTAAGTCTTTTGCACTAATTCGTTGTCCCGACGGCACTGTTATAACATATTCCCATATCCGCACTTTGGGATAAAGAAGATTACAATAATCCCTGAGATTAATCTGGAGCGCCTGGATTATCTTGTGCAAAGGTACATCGACATAATGACATGGTAATAATAAAATGTGGGGATAAACACTGGAAGATTAACTCTAAAGTTTAGAGCTTCCAAGGTCTGTCTGTAATAAGCGTTATTGCGCGAAATACTTTGAAAAGAAAGTTTTCAGGCGTAAGGTGCAGATTTAGATTACTAGCGCTACAATCGTCTATTCTAGGAGAAGCGAAAAGATCATAGTTCGTAGACATGACGACAGTGACACGATTAGATCAGTGTACATTCGGTATGGCACATAGTTGAGCTATGGTCGAATAAATCAAGGAGTAGCCTATTACGGTTCTGTGTACAAAACCGCTCATGTTACGTACAAACCGCAACATCGGTGTTCGCCGAACTTCGCATCGCATCGCCGTATCTTGCTTCAAAGAGGTAGAAATCTGTTTTCGCCATTCAGCTCAGCTTTCCATATATAGATGAGACGTATAAGTGCTGTGGCTGCATGATAGTCAGCCACTACGAGTCTTCACTCGCAAAACTTGTGAGTTTTTGCTTTCGGTAGATTACCCATTTGTGCACTAGTAACTTACTCGAAGCAAAAATCTGAAAGATATAATGTACTGCCTACCTGGGACTGCCGCAAACAAGGACTTTTATATATCGGAAGATAAGGCTCATCAAATGAGTTACGTGATGCGCGTGGATATAGATTTCGTCCACTTCGAAGCATATGGCGATGCGACCCGAAGTCTGGGAGCCCCGCCATCGCCGAGGTTCCATTGACAAATGAGGGGGTATTATACAGCAAAAAATCTTTGGAACTCTCCCAAGTTCACATTGTATAGGGTTGTTGCAACTTGTTCAGAGTTCTTTATTCTTGAACATATGGAAACTATTTGACAGAAGACCAAGAGGCATCTATTACGAACATGAGATCAAAGAGCTACGATTATTACCTCTCGTGGCATTGAAGTTCGTATACCCAGAGAGTTGCGCACAACTGCTACATTTTTTCCAAATTTTGTCAAGAACAAAACCATTTCATGGCTGAGGTGATAGATTTTCCCGACTATGTTTCGGGATTCATGCGGATCTCACAAGGGAGGTTTTAGTCGAAGTGGCCTCTCAATATGACTTCTACACCACCAGGGCTCGGCACAGCTGGCACGGCTCAAGCTGGATATCGTTTTTAGGGCGAAAGCAAAGGGGATGTCGTATTCCGGTTTGGGGCGGAGAAGAGCCGCAAGGGTGCCGCCGGCATGCCACCGGCATGCTGTGCATCAAACAAACGAAGGCGGTGTTTTCAGCCAGAACGCAATAGTATGACACCAAATTTGGTGTGTTCATGCGCGTTGGGGGACCCAAACTATAGCTCAAAAATTTATGAAAGTTTATGTGAATGAAAGCCGTGCTGAACTTTTCTCTGAATTGGCACACCGACACTTAGCTCACATAAGTTTTCATACTTTTTTACATAAAAAGTATCTACAGCGTAAAAGTTTACATACAGAGAAGAAACAATTTCATAATGTTTCTTTTCAGCGTTTTATAGCCATCTGAAAATTACTCGGTCTGCTCCGCAGTCGAAAAAACTGCTTTTTCTGCTTCTCAGGACGTGATTCAACCACTTAAAAAGCTCAGAAAGCCATGCATGCTGATTTCATGGAAAAACTGTTCCATGAAATCAGCATGCATGAAAACCCTATTACATATTTTTACATGATCTAAAAATAATGATGGGTCTTCAAAACAGGTCAAGGGGGACTTCGTACGAAATTTTCAAGATCAAAAAGGACTTCGTTTTGAAATTTCCTTGGTGCCAGCTCGTGCCGAGCGCACACCACCTTGAAGAGCATCGAAGTTAGTTTCAAATCTGTTTTCATTGTCTGCCAAACGCCTCTGGATGCCGAGTTATGAGCATTTCTAAGGATGAAAAATTGAATGTGCAAATCGAGCAAAAAATGTCCAACATTGCCCAAATCATTCAGTTTTAGTTATCGGAGCACTTTGATGGGTAACTTCTGTCTAATATACTCAACTCAACATTGCTCTACGTGAGCGCTGAAAAGATTATAACGGTTGATTTTATCTATATTCTGCATTCATTTTCTGCTCCAAAAACACCTATAATTTGACGTGCAGAGCTGTTTGGCAGATCATAAAAACAGATTTGAAATCAGCATTCGCAGCTCTTCAAAGAGATATAGGGCTCATTTGAAACGGCCATTTGACTGAAAGGACCTTCCTTGTCAGCTGCATATGTTTGTTCGTAGTGAACTGGTTGTAAAGCTTTAGCGAAAACGCGCAAAATATTTTTTCAAGAGGTAGCAAAATAGAGGTTGTCAGAGAAGAGAAGAGACTTTAGGAGCCTCCAATAAATTATACAATACTAGGTTCGTGGTGTTACTACCTAACATCCCGAGGTCTGACCTCACATTTGCAAAACGCACAACAAAACTTTGTTAGAGTTCATACTATATCGCGTACTTGCTTGTATACAGGGTGTCCGTAAAAAATGTGCTTACTGTTTGATTGTGAGTAACTCTCTTCTAACGAAGTCTTTCAAGAAACTTTAGGCACCATTTTGTAGAGCGAGGTTCAACTTAGATTTGCAGTATAGAGCGAATCACCGAGCTCTTTTTATTACTGTAGGATTACGGTAGGAACTTCGACAAGGATTTTAGGTCTTTGGAGGCCATAATCTGCCTCGGAACATAACCAAACAAGCCGGAAATTCTTACACTATGGTAATGGAAGCCGCTCTTTTCGAATATGAAATTTAAACTTTACTGTGGTGCCTCTTTCCTAAGTTACCCAGGTGAACCGTAATAATTAAATTTCCAGGATTTTTCAGAAATGTGATTACACCGTCAAAAAAGCTGAAAACACCCGTAAAATGTTGTGTAGTGGAATCAGCGTGCGCGAAAACCCTAGTACACGATTTTTCAGATTTTTTGAAAAAAGTTTTGTCAGGCGGCATATTTCACGATGGTTCCATATGCTGAAAGTTCCTACCGTAATCCTACAGTAATAAAAAGAGCTCGGTGATTCGCTCTATACTGCAAATCTAAGTTGAACCTCGCTTTACAAAATGGTGCCTAAAGCTTCTCGAAAGACTTCGTTAGAAGAGAGTTATTCACAATCAAACAGTAGGCACATTTTTTACGGACACCCTGTATATTGGCAGATGTTAGCAAACGAGGTACTAGATTTTACACACTGACTCTATCTTCTCTCCTCTCGCGTATATTCTTGCATTTATATACCTACTTTTTTGATTGAAAACAGCGAATAAGGCAGTGTGATTTTGTAAGTATGCTGTATAATACGTGCATTTATATAATATAATAGTCTATATCAGTTCTTCAGATTTGAGCAAAAGTTTTGCTATAATCGATTTTGGAATCATATTCGTCTCTATCCCAGTTCATCAAGCGATATTGACGCGAGACCTGCGGTTTCGAAATCTCCTGATTGTGCCTAAAACTATTTGCCAGGATTGAACTAAAGACCTCAGCATTCGCATACCTGTTCATTAGGTTTGGCAACGATGTGGATGTGCATTCATTAAGATGAGTTTCGAAGTTACCCATAACCGTATCAGCTCTGCAGAATAACTTTTTGTGCTGCCTGATGGAAACGGATGTCTTACCTTGTTTTCATCTCAGCGGTTTCTTTACTGATGCAGTCCATCATGACAGTAAAAATATTTTGAAATAGGGTTTGTGCGTGATGTATACGTTCCTCCGGACTGGCAACATCATCAAAAGTGTTACTGTCCAGCTGTTATTCGTAAGATTATTCAATTTTTTAAACAGTGAACTATAAATTTACCAAATCTCTGAGGCGCACATGGAATGTGGACTTGTTATTTTTCTGAAAGCGGTGAGTGGAGAACAAGGGTATAGCGATATCCAAGGTATATAGCAACTCACACTTACTAGTAATAGTTTACGGACTAGTTCAAGATCAGATCTGTCATAGCAGTGTTTTCGCACCTGTTTGAGGGTCCCCCAAGGCCTACCTTAAAGTAAAGTATCTGCATGTTAGTAAAGAAGTGATGCGCAGAAGCTAACTGTTATTTCAAAAAAATTTCTATTGAAGCATCTATTAGGTCGTTCCGAAAGTAATGTCGCTTTTTTCAAACGTACGCCACATTTCGTGGAACAAAGATGTGTAAGAGATTCTGGTAGCATTTGATGCAGCATTTTTTTCTCTCTCTAATGGCTATATAATTACCGCACAAAATTGAATAACCTCTGGAAAAATTATCGGAATCTGCGACCCATGCTTTTTGAGAAGGTGAAGTTGCACAATTTTCCAAATTTTTATAACAACCCCCGAAAGGAGTCCAAGTTATGTATGGATAGAGCAAACCCTACGGGAAACAGCACAACTTTTTTCTACTTTTCAGAGCTCGTCATAATTTCTGTATAGATTTTTTGATGGAACCACCGAATTTTAGCAGGTTCGTCTCAGACACAAGTGCATCAAACACCAAGAAATCGTCAGATTTTGAAACTTACAAAAATGGCTCATGGTTTTGCACTAATTTTAGAAAGCAAATGAGCGTTTACCGCTTCAGATTAGCAACTTTCGAAAATTCCGGGTACAGCCGGAGGTGCCCTGGAAAACCTGAATTATGGTGATTTTATCTCGGAAACTTGATGAATCGGAAACCAAAAACCACTGGTAAAAAGAGGAGAAAAAGCTGCGTCGAATGACACCCGAGTTGCTTTCCGGTTGTTGTTCTGTGAGGTTTGAGTTGACCAAATATGGAATTTGATGGCATTTTAAAATTGATTCCAGAAACTCTAAGAAACAAGCTAAGGAAAAGAAAAAAATTACTCTGTGTCCTATAGGGTTTGCTCTATCTACCTGCCACTTGCACTTCTTCGGAGAATAGGCACAAAAATTTCAAAAAATTGCCTAACTTGACCCATGGCAAAAAGCATGAGTTGCAGATTTTGTTGATTTTTCGAAAGCTCAATGAAAACTGTGCAATATAATTACAACCATTAGAAAGAGGATGAAATGCTGCATCGAATGTTTCTAAGATATCTTGAAAATCTTGATTCCATGAAATGTGGCGTTCATTTGAAAAAAGCGACATTACTTTCGGAACGACCGAATATTTCATCTTCAGTACTTCTGAATATTAGGTTGGCCCGAAAGTTCTTTCGCACCATTTTCAAAAATTCATAACTCCCAGTTCTTTCAGCCGATTAGCATGCTTTTATGCTTATATGAAAGAGTAAGTCATGTCTTTACATTGACACCTTAGCTGGTTACTAATGGTCATCCCTTGCATAGATAGGAGCGATAGAAAAAATTGGTCAAAATTTGAATTTTCTATCTAGGATCATAAAAAGTCGGAAACTTGCAACAAAAATTGGAGCAGTCGGCATTGTAGGTCCTTTCACCGCTCTTTCTAACAGTGCAAAGTTTGCGCTGATTGAGCGTCTCTATGAAAAGTTTCGATTTTCGAGCAAGCAATACAAAAGGGCGAATTTGATTTATTTTGGCATTTTTCAGGGAATTTATAACTTTTCACAGAAACGCTCAATCGGCGCAAACTTTGCATTGTTGGAAAGAGCTTGTGAAAGAGCCTACAATACTGACTGCTCCGATTTTTGTTGCAAGTTTCCGATTTTTTATGACCCTACACAGAAAATTCAAATTTTGACCAATTTTCTACCGCTCCTATCTATGCAATGGATGACCATTACTAAGCATATAAGGTGTCAATGTAAAGACATGACTTACTCTTTCGTACAAAAATAAAAGCAGCCAAATCGGCTGAAAGAACTGGGAGTTATGAATTTTTGAAAATGGTGCGAAAGAACTTTCGGGTCAACCTAATAAAATCGACTTACCTTCAATCGCTTTGAAAATGATATCGAGCCATTTCGGAATGAGGTAAAATGGATTGTTAGCAATAATGGAGGAAGTACAGCACGTGCAAAAAATACATGCGAAAAAGGCTGTCATTCTCATTAAAGCGAGAACAACATGAAATATATAGTATAGAAGCGACAGCGGAGGAGGAAGCCATAGTTTGGATTCGTACCTAAAACATTCACACGGCTTAGTTCTGGAGCTTGGTCAAGGAATGCTCAGGTCACGTACTTCAGCTCGAATAAGTTGGTGTCATTGCTTAAAACCCTGCAGATGCACGAAACGGAAACTAGTCTACTTTTGGACTAAAACATGTTTTCCTGTCTTGAGCCATTCTTACGTAAGCAATCAAGTTTGTCAAGAGAACTCTTCCTGAGTAAAATGCATAATTGTTCATGTGGCAATAAAAAACACGCCAACAGTTCACAATCGAATTTTTCTTAAGTCAAAGTTTGCTAGTAAAATTTTAGCCAAGGTTTGAGCGATTGAGAGTCAAAGTTCTCACTGCAAAATCTATTTGCGGTTACATGAAACTTACGTTGCAAGCAGAGAATAATTTTCGTATTTCCAATAAACAGCAGACCCGCTGCCCGACACCTCGTCATACTCCTTCCTAAAATAATTAGTACCTATGGTCATAAATCTATCGTGGATGGCTGCATACTATACTTTGGACCGAATCGAATGATTATTCGATTATTCGAATAAATCACTTGAGAATATTCGAAAATCTGAGATTTCGAATAATATTCGACAGTCGAATATTCGAAAATTTTCATTTTCGAATATTATTCGAAAGTCGAATATTCGAAATTCTCAACTTTCGAATATTATTCGATAGTCGAATATTCGATGGTCATTAATTCGATCATTCGATGTCCATGGAATATTCGAATATTCGATGAGCACCGAATATTCGAAAATTCGATAAGAATTGACTATTCGAAAAGTCGAAGCATCGAATATTCGGAAATTCGATATCCACAACATATACCGGTGTCCCAAGGGTATGTACAAACTGTTTAATCGCTAATACCTCTCACGAAGTCTTTTGCCAACCTTTAAGTAACATCCTGTAGGGATGGCTTCAGCTTACAAATACAGCAGAAAGCAAAACACCTATGTTTTTCTTGTTGTGTTATCACGGTATGAACTTAGCATATAGAGCAACTGCGAAATGAGACATTCACCAGAGTTTCCTCAGCAAAAAAGAGATTTCAAATCTATGTAGCAGGATTTTACGTATGTTTAACTATGCACGGGCTATCAAGCCTTTTAAATGTGCATTCTCTTTTTTGGAAAGCGTTGTGAAAAACATCTGTTATGGTGTACCTGGCATAAGTTGCAAAAGGCGTTACGGCTGAGTGCAAATTCTTTATATAGTGAGTGTCTTTAGAAGCCTAGTGTAAGATCGGCCTTTTTGTTTCTCATTCTTACGGCTCTTGATATCTCAAAACCCTCCTCAGTTTTCCTACGATAATTTACAACAGTGAAAAGCGATCTATACATCGCTTCATACTGTAAGTCTAGGTTGATGTCAGCCCACAGATTCACATACTGTTGAGACCCCTGTATGTCAGTCCACAACTCTCAACGAGAATAAATAATCTTCTTTGATTTTTGAAATTCCTTTACAACCGTCACGTACGCTTTTAGGTTTTTAAAGGCAGCGTCCGAAAAGACAGGTCTGGGAATTTGTGGCGATGTTAAATTGAACCCCCCCCCCTCCTACATAAGGCGGCGACGAAGTTTGGAGCGAAAAAGAGGGTCTGGTAAGCTTGAAAATTGCTCCCAAAGTGGCCCGTCTTACGGCGGTCCCGAATGCCGCCCGTACAGCGGATTCGAACTGCAAGGCCAGAGAACGCATAGTGCACACAGCCATGAGTGCAGGGTCCCGCAACGACTCTGCGTCTCTACCCTGCATGCACCTCGTACTCACGAGCCTACCGTAAGATCCGGGCCACTTACGGGGCAAATTTTAGGCCTGGTAGCCCCTTCTTCGCTCCGAACATCAGTCACCGCTTAGGTGGGGGGACTACTTTTACATCGCCACAATCCGGCACCCATCTTCTTGCCGGGGCTGCAACTGAACCGTTTTTTCATTGTAAATTGAAACATAAAAAATGTCTATACCTGAAAAAATTCGTTCTGAGATGTTTTGGTCTCTCACAGATAGTCTCACTGACATAATTTATTCGCATGGTATTCGAAAATCGAATGATATTCGGAAATCGAATACTGTTCGAGAACCGAATAATATTCGAAATTCGAATATCGAATGATATTCGATATTCGAATATTATTCGATTCGAAACTTTCTATTTTCGAATAAAATTCGATAGTCGAATATTCGAAGTTTTCAATTTTCGAATAATATTCGGTAGTCGAATATTCGAGAATTTCGATTTTCGAATATTATTCGATATTCGAATATTCGAAAAAATTTCGTATTCCCCAAAGTATACTGCATACTACAGAATGCAAAACTTACGATAGCAGCGCAGTCAACAAGTTTACTAGCATGATGCTTGCAATAAGCATGTAGCTAAATACAGTGATAGGGATGAGAGTTGAGCGAAAGAGGCATCGCATGTCGGAGACATCTGATGTCCATATCAACTGCCAACTCAAATCTGCGCATCCTGTTACCGATCCTAGACAAGCAAAAATCACACATATTCCTACACCTTATCAATCACGTCTCTACATTTAGCCAAACCCTCCCTGTTTCCGATGACCACAACTTTTTCTGTCACAATTTCATTTATTTGGACAAAGTGATTACAAAATGTACTAGGCGCCATTTTTTGACAAGATAAACTAACCAACTTTGTCTTCATCGTCAACCTCGCCAAATATTTCAAACGCACCATTCTGGAATATCAACCACGCCAGTGAATGATTGCTTCGAATAACGTATTCTTCTGAAAAATGCAAATAATATCGGAAAGGCAGTTAAGAGCGGAACCGATGATTGGATTAGGTAAATGAGAGACCAAGCTCAAGCATTGTGTCAGTATAAGAAGAATTCTAGGACTGAAAGGTCACAGATAATTACATATGAGAAAAATATGTAGGTGGCTCTCTGGCGGCACTATAATGAGAAAACCGAGAATTTGGCGACCACTTGTAGTTTACGATGAGGTGAAGACCCTTTCGCTAGTGCTCTTCCCCAAGCGAAATGAGGATGGTACAATCAATTTATTGTTAAAAACCAACCGGCCATGCTGATGTGACACACAGCGAAGATCATCCAAAACATTAGAAAAATCAGCAAGAACTTTGCAAGAATTCCAATCTGTAAAAAGCGTTTGCACTGCATGAACGTTTTTGAGTTGAACAAACCATTTTCCTCAGCATAAGGGTGATGACGCTGAAAAAATAGAATACGCTTAGAAACCGCATAATCGAAATAGCAGCGAAGAGGAACGAGACATGAGATATCAAGTCATTGATTGTTGCGAGCATTGCCCAGAAACCGCTGGAAATATATATTTGTGGAAAACATTCCGGAAAGAAGCACAGCTAACCTACATAACTTTTCCTTTCGTAATATTGGTGTGAAGTAGTATAGCTGCCAACAAAACGAAGTTGACCATTATGGTTATATTTCGATAAAACCCGAACAAGTGATCAGATGTCCAGTTCAAGAAACCCTGAAAGGTAAAGGGCTTCCGTAGCTTTTTCGACAAGTGATTGTAGTGATTTTGCTCTGACAAGGGGAGGACACTTGGTCGAGGTGGCTTTTCCTTAAAATGTACACTATAATATAGAGCATAAAGCGCTGATTCCGAATCTGCTTTCCTTATCTGCAAAGCGCTTCTGAGTGGGAAGTTCTAAAAATTTTTTGAGATAAAAATTTAATGATTTCGTTAAGGTAAAAACAGGTGTAAAGATTTTTCCGGCGCTCAAAAGGAGTAACGACTGATATGAACTTATTAGACTAAAGGTATTCATTTCCTTAAACGCCTGGGTAATAGTTGTGACCCCCTCTAGCTCACCGACTGAGGTTGTGAATAATTTTGTAGTAGGGACGCTTTCAATTTATTGCATATACATTTTGTATAAAAAGGCCACTTCGACCAAGTGTCCTTCCCTTGTGAGTGATTCGCGTATTAGCTCTCATAAAATTTGAAAGGTTTAGTTTTATTCGCATAGCAGCTACCTTACCATTCGTAATCTCTTCACCTTCCTACTGTATCGCTCCAAAATCGTTATGGCATCAAATCGGTGACCACAGTACGGCTGCGGCATCTAAAGCTTCACTGAGTAACGGTAAAGTTAAGAGGATGGTTAAATTTGTGGCAACAAAATTTGAAGGGAGTGGTGTCCAAACGAAGTAAGATGGGAGCTCGGTCTTTTACCAAACTATCTTCTTAGTCAAATAAGTCACAACTGTTGCACTGAGACAAAACAAAACCTCAGAAGTAATAAGCTCGCTTTGGGAATTAGGCAAGTTATCAGGTTGTCCCATAAGTCTTTTCATTTGAGTTTTCGCTCATACACTTCTTATTCATACTAGTTATGGTCTCGGTCTCACCTGAGACTCGAAATCTGTTAGCTATCAAAACTTGTGTACTTACGCTTCTAAACTCCTTCGTGCTATGTGCGAAAGGCGCTTTGAGACAAATCGCCGCAGCTTTCTAACCTCGAGATCAAAATAAGCTCTATCGTCGACCCTGCTCACATGATTGGTCAGAACACGTAAGCTATCGTTTTTCTGCGTGTAAGTAAACAAATCAGTAGATCGATAGGACCCCGCGAATCGCCGCAAAAGCGGCCTATAATCTGCGCAGATGGCCGATTACATTGCAAAATGTTGGCTCGTTGGGTTCAGCCGCCGGCGTTTTTATGAAAAACAGGAAAATAAACCGGAAACATATCGACATTGAGTTTTATAATATTAGGTTGTACCGAAAGTTCTGTCGTTTCATTTTTGAAAATTTGTAACTTTGCGCTGTTTCAACGGATTTGCTTGCCTGTAATTTTGTTAAAAAGAATAAGTCTTTCTCTTTCAAAGGCTATTTTGCGGAGCTTCTGTTTCACATTGGGTGCGGAGATAAAAATGGAAAACCAAGACCGAGTAAACTTTGTCCATTTTAAGTTAGGTCACCAAAAATCTGGAATGCTGCAGAAAAATCTGAAATCGTCAGTATATATGTTTTTTGACCTACCCTTTGCATCTGTGAAAAAATTGTGCTGTTTGGACGTCTCTGTGTGAGAAGTTATGATTATCGAGTTTACTATGGAAAACGCCAAAATTAATTAATTTGTCAATTTTCGCGAAAATCATAACTTCTCACACAGAGACGTCCAAACAGCACAATTTTTTCACAGATGCAAAGGGTAGGTCAAAAAACATATGTACTGACGATTTCAGATTTTTCTGCAGCATTCCAGATTTTTGGTGACCTAACTTAAAATGGACAAAGTTTACTCGGTCTTGGTTTTCCATTTTTATCTCCGCACTTAATGTGAAACAGAAGCTCCGCAAAATAGCGTTTGAAAGAGAAAGACTTATCTTTTTAACAAAATTACAGGCAAGCAAATCCGTTGAAACAGCGCAAAGTTACAAATTTTCAAACATGAAACGACAGAACTTTCGGTACAACCTAATATACTAGCCGGCGGTCCTGGTTTCACTCGGGACTCCAGTTTAGCTAAGGAGAAACTTCTTATACTTACGCTTTTGAGCTTCTCCTGCGCAAAAAGGGCTTTGAAACGAATTGCCCGCATCTTTCCGACATTGAGATTAAAATGAGCTTTACCATCCCCTGACTACTTCACGGCAAAATGATTGGTTTGAGCATGTCAAGCCTCATTTTCCCAGATGTAAGTAAGCAAATTTTGAGATTTTGAGATTTTTTGAGATTGAATGAGATTGAATGAGATTTTTGATCAAAAGCAACAGTTCAGTAGATTTTCCGCTCAATATACTCTGCTTTCGGTGCCGAGATATTGCGATGAAATTTGCCACGCCAGTAAGTTGATTGCGCGAAATAGCCGGGGTTACAGGCGATGTTGCTCACGCATAAGTTATGGCGCAAAATATTGACACCATAAACAGTAACAAAGGGACAGCACATATTTTTGGACTTGCCACAATTTCGAGATCGCTGATTCGAAATTTGGGCGATGAACTTAGAACTGCTGTTATACTCTTGATTGTAAGCATCTCCTTTAGCATCTCCGATGGAATGTCAGAAGACATAATTTATATGTTTAGGGCGTGACCGACGATGCAAAGCCTCGAGGAGTTGCTCCTTCGCCCTGACACCGACTGGTCGCCTCTACAGTACCCCTCTACGACTCTGCCTGATGCTGTCCCGATCCAGCGCTACTTTCGATTTACCTGCTCAAACTCCTCCCTGATCACCTCCTTTGCTGACTGTTCATATACTGCTTCCTGTCAATATTGATGTCTTATGGATAAACTACTTAGTACTAATCGATGTGTTCATACCAGCCAGAAGCACGCTATCGCTGCCGCTACGCTTGCTATTCTTGTCGTTTTTGAAATATATGAAGTGAGAGAATGTTACCTGCTCTCTGATAGCTGCAACGCTGTCACATAGTTGCGATAATTGAACAAGTGCCACAATCAGCTCTGGCCAATAAATCGATAAGCATGGTTTTGGAGATCTTTGCCGTGGTTTGGCAAGTAGAATCCAGCTGTACAACAATACATAAACCACGCGAAAAATCTGAAAACTGTTTTTCAAGTCATGGAAAAGGCCCAATGAAAGTGACTTACTACATGTAAGGCAAATTTCGCTTTTGTTGTAGTATAGAATTTGAATATAGGTCGTAACAAAAATCTCCTTTTCTTTGTGTGGCAAATATCACCTGTGGGCCTCAATTGCATTGCATCATTTTCCTCTGCCGACTCCTCTTTAGGTATTACTGTCGACTGATCTATTCTTTCCATGACTATGGGCGTAGGAGAGGAAGTATGTCGGATTGCAGCAAGATCGTCTTCTCTAACAGGAAATCTTGGTGCACATCTCATTACATATTTTGCGCCCTTTGCGTTTGCAGGCGAGACGTCATCTATACACTTTTCCATTAGATAATTCAACTCTAGAGATCCTGGCGTTGAAGCACCAAATGCAGTCAGCGACTCATCATCGTGATCAATGATCATCGGGGGTGCTGGTTGATTAGCATTTGGGAGCCATTTTTTGGCATACTCTGTGTGTCCGTCGTCCTCCACGGTAATTTTTTCAGTTTCTTCCACAGGAATACTCTTCTTGACTTTGGGCCCTCTCGCTTTTCTTAAGGCGAACTCCATGTAAATAAAGCCCGGGAAAAGGTAACTGATAAGCGTCCGCGTCTGAAATAGAAGAGTGAAAGACCTATGTTGACCAACCGCAACTGCGATACTTGACTTTTTACTTTATGAGGGTGCCTAAATCAAAAGAAAAATGGCAGATGCAAGATGGAATTATTGTTCTATTCATTTTAAAGTGAAAATATATGGTCAATACCTAGACATTTGCAAGTATTTTCCTCATGGAGAAACATGATGAAAAGTGCGTACCAGTAACAGGCTTTGCCAAATCTTATTTATCTGAGTAATCATATATCAAACTAACCGGACTCAGTCGTAACCTTCCATGCCATCGTCTTTCAATCAAACTCTGGCAACAATTGTGTGCGAGAAAGTTCTGCAAACATCCCATTAACGAATTAATCCATAACTTGATTTTTTTTGTTGCTTCAGAACGAGGCCCGAGGAGGGAGTGGTCTCGCTCCTCCCACGTCAATGGAGACTATCTAAAAATGCTGCCAACGATAGGAAAAACAAGCAGTAGTGCTACGATTTTCCTGTTGGAGTATTCCTTTCCTTGCAATTTCACTTTAGCACTAACCATTGTGCGAGCAAGTGATTCAGACGCCAGCTGCGGTAGATGGCTTTGGAATCCGTTTCAAAAAATGAATTTAACCGGCGAGTCGAGAGTCAAATTGGTTGTTTGGCTGGCTTGGTGTTGGTAGCTTCATTTTTCCCTTTAGATATTGTCAATATCTCTTTGTGTAGTTTCAAACGGTAAAAGCTACACTGTTTTCATTTAGACAAGAAAGAAATTTGATGTGCCATTTTGATACTAATTGAGCTCATGACTTGCAAGTATGAAATGCAAGATTTACTTTCGCAAACATTATCTTCATGCTATCTTCTGTAAACACATTTATTTGAATAGTGTTAGTTTTGAATGTTATTTTTGTTACATTTATCTTGGTCGTCATTGTTTTCCTTTGATATTATGAAGTACAGTTTGGTTGAGGAAGCTTGAGGGTCTCTGTGTTTTTGTTTTTTTGCTTTTGTTTTTGTGTCCGTGAGGATTTTGGTGTTTTTCTTGCCGAGTGGTATTAGATTATTATAGTTCTGTGTATCAAACCGTTTTCTTTATCACACCAAGTTCAAAAATTCATAATTCGTTGAACTCTCAACTAATTTACAAGATCTAAATTTATATAGGAGAGGAACTCATGCTCTTTGCAACTGTACTTGAAATGTTCGTTAATGTGTACAAATGAAGGAGATAAAAGCTCAAAACCAAAATCGCTCAAAGTTTGAATTTTTCGTGTAGGGTCATAAAAAATCGGAAACTTGCAGCAAAAATCGGAGCAGCCAGTATTGTAAGCTCTTTCACAAGCTCTTTCCAACAGTGCAAAGTTTGCGCCGATTGAGCGTCTCTACGAAAAGTTACGATTTTCGAGCAAGCAATGCAAAACGGCGAATTTGATTTATTTTGGCATTTTTCAGGGAATTCATAACTTTTCACAGGGACGCTCAATCGGCGCAAATTTTGCACTGTCGGAAAGAGCTTGTGAAAGAGCCTACAATACTGACTGCTTTGATTTTTGTTGCAAGTTTCCGATTTTTTATGACCCTACACGAAAAATTCAAATTCTGCGTGATTTTAGTTTTGAGCTTCTATCTCCTTTATCTGTTCTCGATAGCGAAGTTCAAGTACCCATGCAAAGAGCATGAGTTCTTCTCTCATGCGAAATTTACATCTTGCAGATTCGTTGAGAATTCAACGAGTTATGAATTTTTGAATTTGGTGCGAAAGAACTTTTGTACCAACCTAATACATGAGTTGTAAAATTGTACTAGTGACAATATTTTGCTTGAAGATTTGAGAGTATTCAAATTTTTGTTATTAAAAAAAATTATCGGCGTGTCGACAGTCCCTCCTATCCACACCCCTCCCCTCGAATGAAAATTGTTGTTGCTAGGAAGAAGCTGTACTGTAAGCGCTTAATTATGTACTACGGAGTAAAACCCCATGATAAGATAGCGAGAGAGCTAAACATAGGCTCTGCATGATGGCGAAATCCTACAGTTTTGGCTTTAGTGAGTTTTATATAGTAAAATATTATCATGGAACTTATACTTTTATATTTAACACATCAACGATGACGCAAAAAATGGCTATGTCGAGACTTACCATTGCTTTCGCTCGATAGGCAATAGCCATCAGCTCGATCGAAGCTTCTTCTGTCCGTGCATTCCAGTTAGTCCTAACTGAGAGTGATCATAAACTCGATCCAGTGTAATGGTAGCAAAATACGAATTTAGAAAAGAAGATACCTCGACAACATCCTCCCCAGCATGTCTTTGCAAGTAGATGGCGTGTGCAGAGCAGCTCTGACTTTTGAAAATGTTCGTGGAATTTCTCTTCGCCTATCTTGAAAATTTGCTCATAATCAATTTCGAGTACGTTTAAAGCAATGGTTGCATTCTCGCGGAAAACGTCGTTTAACAAACTGATGCAGCGTTGCTCGAAAATGCTGAAACAATTTGCTTTTAAACTAAAATCACAGTTGAGCAAAGTCACCTTCTGTTTTCCTGGTAAATTTTCGCCATGTTGTCATCGTGAACTCCTTCAAATAATTCTTCCATTACCACACAAGCATACATGCATAGCATGCCGGCATAGAAGTGGTACTTGCATTTTGGCCATAAGTCAATATCGTAACCCTGAACGGATCTGAAATTACTGATATTTTTATTTTGCGCCACGCAGTCTATATCTCACTTGTTGCTGAAATCTTCACGTTTCCAACATTTGGTCCTGGCAAAAAATGCATTGCATACAAGTTCGCAGAGAGCTGAGTCAACAGCATAGATCTGATGCAAAGGAACCCTAAACAAGGCTCAGGTTCGGCTTGAGTTAACAAAAAATACGAAAATTTCCTTTGATGTAAACCATTCTGTTGATCTGTTAAACCGAAACCAAAGATGCATTCAGTGGAATGTCTTTTTTGTGTTCGGTTAACGTCTAATTGTAAAAATGATTACTTACCTAATCACCCGATGCATTTCAAATTCAATAAAATCCATGATTGATTTGGTTCTAAATTGAAGATTTGAACCACTGGCTACTTTATACGTCTCAAAAACGCGCTCCTGAATGTGCATTTTTACATTAGAAAATGTCCGGTATTAGCATCATTTATCACCTTCTCTTCAAGATCTTTCATAAGCTGCTCCAGTATAAAATAGACCAAATTTTTACAGCTCTCACTCATATTTTGTTTTTAGCATCCAATATGTGCAATAGGCTTCGTGTAGAGAGTGTGGTACCCAGACAACGAAGCTGGAAAAATGGTGGAGAAATGTAAAGGCGGATTTTGTTTTTGATAAGGGGGAAAAATCTCAGATTCACTTTGTGAACTAACTGTACAGAGACTGTGAGCAGACCAGCAAGTTTGTATGATCAACATTGTGAAACAAAAAAGGCATACGTTTAATAATCGTAAGGAGTAGGTGAACATATGATTCTACAAGGAGAGCAAGCCAGCAAGCTTATCTACCTTTGCATCGATAAGCGCAACATTCATCACTCTTATTTGCTCACTTTCTTCGATGACTCAAGCACATATACTTGGAGCAGACAAGAATATCCTACCCGATTTAACACGCATGCACGGGTAATTTTTCTCCAGAAAATCATCATTAAGGTTTGTTAAGTACTAAGAAAAATTGCTACATCAACGTCATTTGGTCAATTCATTCAATCTTGAGTACCCTAAAATCTTACAAGTAAGGCCCCTTTTTTGAACAAATGAATTTTGACGCAGAGAAGTCCGTCCCACAGACCCTTCAGTTAGGCCCGTCTTAGTAAGTCTTTTTTTCATTATAATTATCCCAAAAACCTTGTCAGAAAGTCCCAAGACTATTAGATAAGTTGACTTATCTGCAAACGGACTTAAATGCGCCCTATCTGGAAGATCTTAAGGTACCTGAAATGGTGACATGCGTAAATATGAAGTGTTTCTTTCATCAACTCCCAAGAAACTCTCGAGACCCGAAAAGTGCATATTTCCAACAGGTAAAAAGTCCTGCAGCAGTACAAACTGTCGAGTTACTGAAGTAAGATTCAATTTTTGTATGTCTATTAGGTTGTCCCAAAAGTAAACCCCTTTCCTGAAAAAAAAGCGGTTTCTATTTTTCTAGCAGATTTACTTACAAGGGAAGAATAGTTGGCGGCCGTGGTCATTCAGATTGATTTGTATATCGTCTTTTATTGCTGGTTCGCAGACTGTCTTCTGCATCTGCGAAACGATAACGTGGATGGAGTTATGATTATTCTTTCAAGAATGAAGCTGCTGCTGAGGGTCAAAATCATCAATAAAAAATTTTCTCCCCTTTTCAGATGCTGAATATGATTCAACTAATTGTAGATAACAGTAGTGCTCCTTCTGAGATTTTCTTCAAAGTATCAAAAGTGCACCAAAAGAAAATTGGTGATTTCAACTATCCAAAAGTACGCAAACTTTCTGCGAAAAAAGTCCATAACTTCAGAAGACCGCTTCGCAAATGTCGAGCATAGATTCAGAATCAGCCTTTCGACATGCATCTTAAGGTTTACATCGCATTTTAAACGGCCACGGTCACAAGTATCCCTCCCTTGTTAGAGCAACATTCGATAGAGCAAAGCAAGCTTTACAGAATACCACCATCAGCCTAAGTCGTAATCCAGGTAAAATTTGGAGCCAAGAATCAAAATTTTTCAACTACCCCAAGAATCGGATCTCCTTCCAGAAAATTCCAACGGCCTTCAAACTCGGTCATTATATATTAGACACATAGTAGGACCCAAGCATATAGTGGATTTTTTCCGGATTTTAAAATCAAGGAGCAAAACCAGATCATAAATGCAAATGTCACTTTTTTAAAGTTTTTTTTTGTGTCAAACTTGATAATTTTCGATCACCAGAGCACTACAGGATTAAAGTTTCAAGGCTATGCGTATTAAGTCTTGCAGTATACAAGTATATGTGGAAGAAGCTGGAAACGGAGTCTGCCATTTTGGAACTATCTTTTTTTTCTCGTTTTTATGCATGGGAAAAATCCAGTGAAATCATTTTTGAGTACTACTATGTGTCTCGTATGACGACCAAATTGAAGGTCCGGAGGGATTTTCTTCGCAAAAATGTAACTTCCAGGCAAAAAACATTTCTCGATTTTGGCTCAAAACTTTATACGGATTATGAGTTAGGCGGATCTTTGATGGTCATTATGTAGAGCTTGCTTCGCTCTATCGAATGGTACCCCAACCAAAAAAACGACAAAACAGCTTGATTTCTCTAGAAGGGGAATTTACTTTTGTCATAACTAAGATATAGCAGTTTTTACCACTTCTGGTTTTCCTAGTTTAGGTGAAAAGGATTTGCTGACGAGTGAATTGCTTTCACTTTCTTCTTCTAAGGCATCCACAGAGCACAGAACACTGAGTGGGACACTGATAACCAAATTTACAGCACTTCATTCAGTCTGAGTAATACCGACTAATGAAAAGTATAACAACGTTTTACTAATATACTCCGACAGAAACCGATATGGCGTTGCGCTTTTGTTAGTCCTGGAACCGTACACCCGGTTTGTAATACGCAAAGTCAAGCTTTCGCTCTTCAATCTGTAATGATACGGTGATTGATTGATGGAATCTATGCGATTGTTAGATGATTAGTGATTAAAACATTTAGACCAAATCCACAAATTGGTTAAGTTTGGAAATTCTATACTTTCTCAAGTTGTGAAAAATTGAAGGTATAAGGGTAGACAACGTAATATTATTTGCATGCTAAGAAACACTAGAAAACACTTTTTGTACGCTATGAAACGACCTTTCGAGGACTCATACAAGTTGGTACAATGCTACTCAGTGAGTATGAAAAAAGATAAACACTCTTATGGTTAGGGTGCACGATTGCTTTAGGAGACTGTTCCGGATGACTGTCTACGTTTTTTGCTAATTTTCCACTCATTCATCTTTGCCAAAATTTACATGCGCGATGAAAATATTTCTCGCATTTTGCTGACCAGCTGACCTTAGCTCATTAGGATCTGATTGAACTGAGCGATTATGAAAAGCTGAATTCTAACCACAGCATGAAAGGTAATGTAGGAAACCGCAATGACTTTGAAATTTTCCGTTTTCTAAATATGGTATTCTTAGATCTGTGCATTTCGAAGATCTAGATATTTCCTAAGCTCCAGCATTGTGATATCAATTGAAAGTACATAAAGGAGACAAGATTAGATGATTTTGTGTTCCCCACGATCAGAATTTGGTAGAAATATGCACAGTTCAACAGTTATTTCTTGGGAAAAGCATGCGTGAATTTTGCTGACTTCCTCGGCTCCACGACTTCTTATTCTAGGCTCATCTAATCTTCACACGGTTTCAGTTTTAATTTACCACAATGTATGGTTTTATGAACACACTTCTTTGAATCTCAGTTTGAGTATCTTGATCAGATAACAGCGATCCACCTAGTCGGGCATTTATTTCGATTCTATAATCTTCATAATTACTTCGTACAAGGTATAATACACACGACTGCGACTTCTGTAAACATAAACCGGGTTTGCTGTTCCACGGCTAACGAAAGCGAAAAGCCAGAGCGGTTGTGGTAAGGTATATGGTCTTATGGTATATAAGGACGACCAATCTACTCTTCATTAGCAGAACGTCATACTGCATATCCAAATCCTTCAACTTCTTCTTCTTTAAACTAAATTTTTTGAGTTTTGCAGATGGGTGAACTTCTCCAATATGCCATTGGTGGGACGTTCATCACCACTGCTTTGATCATGGGCATCGGTTGTATGGTTGTCTTCAATGTTGTTAATGACATCAACAGCTTCCGAGATGAAATAGAAAAGGATCTTGACCAGTTTAGGGTACGCTAAAGGGATGACGTGACTTTCTTCATCAACAAAAATGTTTTTACAGAATTATGCCGACGATGCTTGGAAGACAATGATGAGTAGCAAACCACAAAGGCGGAACGCATTCATCTATCTACGTGCTAAAAGGGCAGGAACATATTCAGAAGGGCCAGTAGGTGCTGGCGGAGGTTCTTGGGGAGGAAGTAGTGGGGGTGGAGGAGAATGGAGCGGAATCAGCGGTGGCGGCGGAGGCGGCGGTGGATGTCAATGTGCTGCTCAGGCTAGTGGATGCCCAAGAGGTCCCCCAGGTTGGAAATGCTGAAATTTATAACCGTGCACTGAACGCATTTCTCAGGACCACCTGGATTGCCTGGACATCCTGGAGAAGACGGTATACCAGGTATGCCCGGAGGTGCAGGGCAAAGTGGACATGCGGCGTCTATGGGGCATGCTACGGGATGCATTACTTGTCCAGCCGGGCCCCCCGGCCCACCAGGACCGAGCGGAGCACCAGGACCAGCTGGACCACCTGGAAATCCAGGAATGGACGGACATGGAGGAGAAGGAGGTACATCCACAAAGCTTCAACAGAAATTGATTTTCTCTCACAAACATTTTGCAGGTGCCCCTGGACCAGCCGGAGCTCCTGGCGCCCCTGGTGCAAATGGAAACCCTGGAGCACCAGGAATGGATGGAGCACCTGGCGCTCCAGGTAATTCCTTATCCTTTGATTTGCACTTTGCATACAAGTAATTACTTCAAGGAACTCGTTCACGCAGTATGCCCGGTCCTATGGGTCCACCGGGACCACCAGGAGCACCCGGCATGCCAGGCATGGATGGTAATCACACAGGCGGTGGAGCACCCGGACCTGCAGGACCACCGGGACCAGCAGGAAACCCTGGAGCACCGGGAGCTCCTGGAGGTGTGGGACAAGCTGGATCGAATGGTGCACCAGGAGGTGATGGAGCATATTGTCCCTGCCCACCACGCAGCAACAGCGCTTTGCTCAAGAAACGCGCTCGTGTACTGTGATTTAATCCATACCCCAATAAATATCTCCGTAGTAAAACACAAACAGCAAGTTCTAGACCATACAGAGTACGTTAACTACGGTCACAGTGTCTTCTATAGGTTTCGATGCAATTGTCTCCTGGCTTATTGAAGATTCTACAGTATGCTGCTTAGGAATCTTCATATTTTTGTTAGCGATTTTTCGTTCCAACTTGCGACGGCGATATGGGTGAAGCTCAATGCTTTCCATCTGTAATGCAGTAGGTTGTCGAAGCCAAGCGACTTACCCGAGTTTTAGGTGTCGACTGTCTCTCCTTAATGTGGTCCGATTTAGGCTACGAGAACGTACTCAGGTTGAATTGCTGTGCAAGAGAGCCCATGATGGTTGTTCATATCGAGAATTTTCTGATTTTGCCGAGATTAATAGATAATCGAGTAAGGGATATGATTTCTGACTTTGCTTGCTAAATTTTCGTGAAATCTTGCAAAGCCTACAGCTTTGCAAGATTTCACGAAAATTTAGCAAGCAGAGTCCGAACTTAAGGCTTCATCGATGTTCCACCTTCGCTCCTTCAAAAGCAGCGATGATTGGGATCGTGATGTTCAACAAATGCAGGGCCTGACTGTATATCATTGAAGAACACCGCTGGATTTATCTTGAAACGCCGATCCTACTGGGTTGGCGAAGTTCTTGCGTAATTCATACGAAACCACTATTCAAATACCAGACCTAAACTCACAGTTCGATACCATTAAAGGAAGGTTTACACTTCGTTCTCGGTGAGCCACCGAGGACGAGGCGTCCAAAAATTGCGTTTTAGATTTTGCGATTTTGAGCTTGATGCTAGAAAATCGCGGAGGGCTGCTAGCAATTTGAAAAAAAAATGTGTAAAAAATTGTCACACAGCAAAAATCCATACGTTACTTGGGCAGGCTTCAATCTTGTATGGAAATACAGAAACAAAAAGCTGAGGAAAGTGTAATGCTACAGAAAAATTCTTTTTGTCGCTGCAGTTTTTCCATAAAACACAGCTCAGAACCAGGAATCAAACCTGAAAAAGATTTACTCAGAACACTTTGACGCTTTCTGCAGCGAAAACAGCATTTTTGCTGAGAAAGTGCAGTAACGAGGTGGTTTTTTTTTGCGTAAGGGAACGGCCATAGGTTGCCGGTATTGTCGGTGTTGTCGTTGACGGGGTAGCCGAGGTTGCCGGTCGTTATAGGACCTCATGATGGCCTCCACGTTTCGCGCGCTCTCTAAACTGTCTCTGACCCCGACAACACCGACAACACCGACAGCACCGACAATATCAACAACACCGACAACCTATGGCCGTTCCCTAAAGCCCCGGTCAGACTTCACGCGACTTAATCGTCGCGACCAAATCGCCAAGATTTCCATTCATTTTCATTTCACATTCAAAAATTTCGGTCTGGAAAAGTATCACAACCGAATGCAAGTTGATCTGCATGGAATGATGTTGTAACAGTTGTCTCCTCGCGATTCAGTCGCGACGATCAAATCGCGTGAAGTCTGCCCGGGGCCTAAAATGACATTTCTCATGAACTGTTTGTTACGTTACCATACAAAACTGGAGACTGCCCAAGTAACGCAATGATTTTTGCTGTGTAGGGGGTAGAGGACATGTCGCCTGTAGGAGGGTCCCGCGCAGACTTGCAAAAATGCACCTTCATACATGTGAGGTGCGTATTTGTTGCAGATAGCTGCGGCGCCCCATTGCGGCGACATATACTCCTCTACCCGCTGTGCAAGGTTTTTACACATTTATTTTGCTGGTTAACGGGCCTAGGCAATTTTGTAGCAGCAAACTCAAAATTTTTAACGCCATTTTTGGAGGTTTCGTCCTCGGTGGCTAGCCCATGCTTGAATATCTATTTCAAAGCACAAACCTTCTAGTATTAGTATGTCGAACTGTGAATTTAGGTCTAGTATATGATATTAAATCTCTGCGTTCGGCGAACCGCGATCTTCCGGAAGAAATTATGAACGTTTCTACCACAAAAGTTGCACTGTAAATAATAGAAAATACAGGTATCAGTTGAATGCAGCGCAAGAAAAAATTCGACCAAATTCCATCACATTGAGCTCCGGTGAGCAGGGAGCGGCGGCGGCATCGGAAAACTTTTTTTTGAGAAGCCGGCTAACCTGACATGTTAGTATCGAGGTGTTAGCCCAGCTCTTCGAGAAGAATTTCTGGGCTGGTTCAAGAGCTGCGGTATGTGATCCGGTTGTTCGTAGAGGCGTTAGGAAACCTTTAGCAAAGGTGTTTCGAATTCTGAAAAAAGTCTTCCAAATAAATGTTCCAGTTTACAAGATTATTTTCGATGATCTATCAATAAAGATCGCGTATGCAGGAGGCTGGCACGGCGTCGTACAGTGCTAGACGGCGCTGGCACGGCGCTAACACGCTGCTGACACAAGAGCCGTGAGACCAGCATAGCTTCGATTATTTGGATGCTGCTTGGATATAATAGGTACCACCTCGTATTTTCTATTACACACTACGAAAAACATTTTAACTTCAACCTTTCCAGAGGGCTAAAAACGCTGAAGTTTCGCATCCATGAGCGTCATTTTGAAATTCAACGTCATCGGAATAAGTGAAATACGCATTATCATGTCTTCAATTGAAAAGTCTTGGCGCTCAAAAACTTTTGCATTACCTTTTAGTTCTAGTTTCTAATATTCAGCTGGTGCGGAGAGGCTCAAGATGGAATATGGGGCTTATGGCTGGCTGCTGAAGATCATGAATTGCATTTTCATAAATAAAAATAAAAAATAAATAAAAATAAATAAATTTATATGTTCGTGATCAGCGTGCAAAAAAACCCTCTGCAGTTACAGGAACTTCGTGATTTTCGCCTAATTACCGTATAGCTACCGTAACCTCGCCAGATTGACCCGCAGTCAAAATCAACACCATATTCGTGATCAGCGTGCCAAATAACCCCACAATCAAGTTTCAGCCAATTTCATGACTTTCGCCCAATACCGTATCCCTATCGTAACCTCGTTATGTTGCGGCTCGAATGGCGAAAAATGAACATCGTATTCGTAGTCAGCACGTCGGATAACCCCGGGGCCAAAGTTTTACAGAATTCCAAACTTATGTGTTCAAGTGTACCGTATATCCATAATGCTTGCTGAAACGCGAAGCAAAATATCCCCGGGGGACTCCTTAGCTGCACTTTCTTATCGGCAGTTTCTCTTTCTCTGATCAAACTCATAGTTAACCCCGAGTTTCATGGCAGTGAAACGCGCACCAAACTTATAGTTACGCTCAGCTGAGCTACGCGTTTCGTCGCGCAGTGTCTCGCGCGGAAACGAATTACGCTGTGTTTCACACTTTCCACTTGTGTCCACATCTACACTTGCGGGATATCCTGTCATATCACCCTTTCCCCAGTTTGTTTTCTTTGTGCAGGTCTTAATGGTCCCTGAAAGGTGCGCCTTGCTCAAACTTGACTCTGAGTTTGAGCTGCGCGTTTCCACAGGTTTACTGCCGATCCAGATTGTAGGAGTAGTTAGACTGTAGCAGAAGAGAAGATACAAAACTTGTTCGCTTTTGTCAGTTCACAAGTGTTGAAGGCAAAAGATGTGACACAAAGGCATTCTCAACTGATGCAGTTTTATCTTCGAAGCAGCGTGTTCACCAGTGTTTCCATAAAGGGTTGGATAGATTGGCTCGCTAAGTGAATGAAAGTGACTGAAGTGTTTGAAGATTGAAATGACAAGCACTGCCGTACCAAAATCGCAATAATCTTGGGAATAAATCTAATACAAGCTAAGCACAAGACTTCCACAGAGGATATAAGTATTTTCGTAGAAAGTTTGTTTGGGAAGTTCTTAGAGCGTTACATTTATCATTACCAGTTTGACACAAAAAGTTGGGCCGAACCGGGAATCGAACCCGGGACCTCTCGCACCCGAAGCGAGAATCATACCTCTAGACCATCCGGCCACCGATGTAATGGTATTTTTGATTATCTCTTATTGACAAACTACTGATTTCCACAAGTAATTTCATCACCAGTTTTCATTGTGAAATAATCTGATGCTTTACAACTTAGCCATTTCTGTGAAGAAATGCCCTAAAGCATTTTGGCACACGTTCAAATACTTAAAACTTCCAAAATTAGTGCTATGGCCCAGTTTTCTGTGTAGCACGAGCGACGCGATATCTCCGAGTTTTGCTGAAATCGTGACAATCTTTTTCGAAGAACTATGCCATAGCAAAAAAAAATCAACGATTTCTTGCTCCGGACAATTACCACAATCACCATTGCAGACGGTGGGTTGCAAACTGTTGTCGTTCCTCACAAATCGCGAGCACTATGCCCTAGGTTCAGCACGTTGACAACCGTGTGCATACACTCATATGCACGCTACTTTTTTAGGTATGAACAAAATGACAGTCCCAAGGTAATTTCTATGCAGTTATTACTGGTATCCTGATTGTCATATATACACAAGACAGGGCATCGTGACAACTTGGGAGTTTGATTGCAAATTTGGGTATTCAGCCCTTTTTTGATGTGGTGAATATATAGTAAGAATGTTTTTCCGAGAAGGCAAAACTTTGTATAGCTTGTTATCTCATACACGTAAACGTATGCCAAAGCCTGTGTGAGTGACGAAACATTGCTGGAGTAAGAGAATAGCCTGTCACCATTCACCAGAACAAACAAAACAGCGAATAAGGGCCTACGTGTTGGGGAAGAAAAATTTCCATTTGATCAAGGGAGGTCAATTGATTGGCATTGGGGAATGCCACTGCCACTTTTCCGGGCTGTCCAAAACGTCTGCGATTGGTTCCTGCCAGGTATCCAACCTGACACCACCGACGCTTGGATACACCTGCCTTATTCTGGAAAATCCATGTGTGAAACGCAGCTGTCTGCGGTCCCAAGGCGCAATGCCGTTGCTCATCCGGAAGTGAGTGACCAGCCAGCACAGCATGGTTAATAAACACGATGAATTGAGAAACACGAACATAATAAATCGAAAAAAAACATGAAATTGTGAAACGGCGTAGTAGGAAAGGGCTTCACGAAGCGGCTGTCGTGAAAGCGATGCGGGGAACGCAAAGTCCGAAACACAAGAGTCGACAAGCGAGGGCCAGCAAGAAAGAGACCAGAAACAGGCAGACCTGTAATGAAAACAGACCAGGAACAAGTCACAGAGGATTGTTCAATAATTGGCAAATGTCAACTTTCCTTAGATTCCTTTTGAAAAGCTTCACAGTTGTCAGCACTCAAAACTTCGCGAGGTATGCACCGTAACCATCTAGCTCCCCGACAAAAAAATATGATTGAATAACAGGTTGACATGTTTCCTCTCAACTTTAGGGTGATGCAAGTTAAAACCACCGTGTCTATCGTAAGCAGGAATAAAGATCCAGTAATCGCTGGGTTCCAACTTGACTTTACGTTTCAGAACTCTGAAGCAAAACAAGAGGTCGGATTTAACTCTTCTGCAAACAAGAGATTCAATTCCCAGTTTCTTCATGAGCGGAACAATGGGGGATACATCTCCTCATCACAACTCTAGTAAACACTCATATGGGAGTTAGGAGAGCAAACAAGGATGAACCAGGCAAAAAAGCACCTAGCATTATAACGCTTTTCTCGAAAGAACAGATATAGCCATTGGATGGTTTCTTGGAGAGGAAAACGATGTACCCTATTTTCAGGTGTTAAGCCGCACCTTTTTCGCTCTAAAGGCGAACACGCCAAAAGACTGACTGTCGTCATGGAGAGCGTTAATTGAGAGCAGTTTGCAATAAGGCGACCGCTTCGCGGGACATATGCGCGGCGTCACGCCTGGGTCTGCTCGTGTTTAGAGCAAAAAGGGTGCGGCTTATACACCTGAAAATAGGGTAAAAATTTTTGACATGAATAATTTTTGGTGCGACTCTTTAAACATGTATCTTTGAGAAAAGTTCGCACGTTTGACCAATGAGCTTCAGAAAGATTCCCACATAATAATTACGCGCGTATGCACTTGCCAAATGCTGCCAAGAGACGTTGTTGGGAGTTCAGCTCAAAATGGCTCTGTCGTCAACGTGTTAAAGGCAGCATCCAAGCAAAATCGGCTTAACCCAATTCGATAGGGTATAATAGGTCTTTCTCAATCAAAGCAAATCATCAGGTTCGCTCGGAAAATGCGACTTTTGAAACCTCAAATACGGCCCGTCCTCTAGCCCTTCTTGCTCTCCATACTCTTGACGAGTTACAGCTTCTGCGCGCCACTTTCACTACAACTGCATGGTATATATGTCTGTAATGCATACTTTCACGTTGCACAGCAACAAAATAGCGTCGGGATAATCGTCCGTGCTTTTCAAAGTAGGTACAAAAACGTGGGTTTTTGGGGTTTTCACGCACTTTGAAGTTTACATTTGAAATGAATATGAAAAGACTCGGTAATGACAAAAATACGAAAGTTCGGAAAATTGCCCGGACGCTGCCCTTGAGGAGTAAAACAAAGCAATATCACTCGTAATCTATTAAGCCGCATCGGCTATCACACATATTCTTCGTCGCATTGCATCGCCTACCTCTTCTGTAGTAGACAATATCTTTTTTCGGGAACCATTCAACTCAGCTCGACAAGATGTATTTCTTGCTGAAGCTGCAGTATTCTGTCGGGTTACGGTAGGTGTACGATAGGTAGTCACTAACACATTTCTCAAGATTTTTGCATAGGAAATGTTCAGTGTTCTGACAACGCATACATTGACTTGCTGGTGGTGCCATATTGTAAGGAAGTTGTAGGAGTACGGTAAAAAAAATCCTTTCGACAGTTCACTTACAATCTGTTCAAAGTTTCGCTAAAGTTGGTCATTTGATGCCTTGATTGCAACTATTACTTTATTTGCTGCTGGCAGCACTCTGCAGAGTCTATAAAGTATTGAGTCGAATTCGTCCGAAGTGTTTCTAAGGGATTCCATGTGCTCGTTCTTAGAGTAGCATTAACTTTTAGATTTTATTTTTTCAAACTATGACGCAACTATGAGGTGTCGAATGCTGCACTAGAGTATGAAAAAGCCATTATGAAGTCATGCACACATGACTGCCACAGACATGTGCCAAAAGTGCATCTAACAAAACTGAGTTTTCATGCAAATAGCACGAAATTTGAGTCATCTCTGTTAGCAAATATTGGTACAGATAAAACAGGTAATTTCTTTTATTACCTTTCAAAGAACTTTAACAAAATGCCATTCAGACAAACTATGAAAGCTCTCATCATCATTGCTGTCTCTGTAGTTATAACTGTTTCTCTCGACCTCAGCGATGAAAAATGTCGGTGTCGAACTAATTTGACAAAGGAGTTCTGCACAAAAACTGGTTTGTACTACTTGGCTGATGATAATACTATCATTTGATGTATACAGGAACTGAATATTTTAGTGCTTATCACAAAAGTGTTTGGGTCGCTGACTCCAATTAATAGAAAACGCAAAGATGACGTGAATAGTAGAATTTATTATAACCTCACTTTTGTGATGTTTGTCGGACCGGTAAGTTTTGAAATCACTGCCACTCGCATGAATCGGATATTTTTTAGGGTCAGCAAAAACTTCATCCAGACAGCATTACCAGCTCGTCAACTCCAGCGAATTTCGATAACTGCACAATTGATCTCTTCCTTTCAAAGTACTACTTACTTTCAGGTGAGAAAAAAAAACAACTGTCTTGTACAATCTAAATAAGCACGACTAGGTCAACGCAGTGGTAACGATCTCGTGATGAATGAATGCGGTCTGCACCACCTATGGAGAAGGACAGATTCTACTTCAGAAGCAGTAAAGGTCATATCACAGTTTTGCCGCTTACCTCGTTTTGAAATACAAGCTTAGATTTCTTTGCTGAGTGTATTTTGAAACTGCAGTTTTAAAATGACTTTTTCGCAAAAAATTTTTCTTGTGATAATGTATAGTATCCGAAAACACTTTTCACTTCCTCCCTATGTGCTTTATTGAGTTTGCGCCGTGTGCTTGCATTTTTTTCAAAAGATTTTTGGAACAGTTACTATACTGTTTGAACAACTCAAAATCAAAGAGGTTGAAAATGTCTGTATATCAAAGATCTGTATATCAAAGACTGTACTCTATCGTGGAAGAGTTTATTTTTTGGTGTCTGAACAGAAAAAGCGCTCAAATTATTCCTCGTTAGCCTATTAGGTCTAAAAGACTTTTTTTGGATCAAAGCCATTGTGTGGTTATCCAGTTGTTTTTTTTATTCACTAGTCTGTGTAAAAGTAGCTGTGAGTGTAAACTGTTGATACATCTATATAGACAGTTTTATCCAAAGCTTTGTTGCCTGACGTTTCTTGTAGCGCCAGAGCGTTTATGGACAAAATTACACCATATCCATCTTCACAATATCTTCTTGCACATACAAATTTTTTTATGAATTGCAAGATGTTACCATCACAATAGTGCACTTTTCAATCGTACTCTTTATATTGTGAATGTATCAACATATATTTCGCGAAATTTTTTCTCCTTTAGGATGGACTTGAATGTTTTTTTTCGGTAATTGCGTGAACCCTTGATAAAATATGTCACTTTATGATATATGTTCTCCGTCTGAAATATTTTGCTTACGATCAGTTTTGAATAAAAGATCACAAGCTTACAAGAATGTTCATTGTTTTTCGTTAGAATTTACTATGATGAATTTTGCAAACTATGAGGTTATTTGTAAATACAGGGTGTCCCAAAAGTAAGTACACACTTTTCAATCGTCAATATCTTTCTTCCCATTGTCTCTCTTTCCGCCATTTAGACACCATTCTATAGGGGAGGCTTGATTAGTTTCGAGCGAATCATCGATCCTCTTCGTTGCTGTAGAATTCCGGTGGGAACTTCGTCAAGGATTTTAGGCCATTTGAGGCCATATTCTGCCTCGAAACAAAACCAAACAGGCCGTAAACTCTTATACTATAGTAATCGAAGCCGCCGATTTCGATTACGAAACTTTCAGTTTACTGTGATGCTTCTTTCCAAGTTATCGATTCCCAGTTTTTGTCAGAAATGTGATTACACCGTCAAAAAAGCTAAAAACACTCGTAAAAAGTTGTGTAGTGGAATCAGCGTGCGCGAAAACCAGTACAAGATTTTTCAGATTTTTTGAAAAAAATTTTGTCAGAGGCATATTTTACAATGGTTCCACATGCTGGAGGTTCTTATCGTAATAATACAGTAAAGGGCGATCGATGATTTGCTCGATACTCTATATCTAAGTTGAAGCCTTCTCTACAGAATGGTGCTTAGATGGCGGGAAAAGACACAATGGGAAGAGAGCTATTAACGATTGAAAAGTGTGTTTACTTCACTTTTGGGACACTCTGTATAGAAAATCAACGAAATGCTGTTCCTAAAATCGTCGACAGTCTACGCAATTTGATGATTTCACAGTTCCGCTAACCGCCTTGAAGAAGTAGCCGGTCCCGAGAATAAAATGCTTGGTGAATTTGCTCAGGTTCTAGGAGCGGCGTATATTCTTGATACGAATCATTGTAAATGAGCCAAAAACAGATTGTTGAACATGATTTTTTTTAGCATGTTTTTTTTATTCCGGTATGCCGACCCCAAAGAATGGAAATTTCGGATTTCGCTGGAACTTTGCCTAGAGGGGCTATCTGACATGCTGATCTTAAATATGATATTCATTTGTTACGGGAGCGCCTCATTTCGGGGTTACGGTGGGTGTATGGTATGAAACTAAAATCCTAGGGGTGCGTGGCGTTAGGTACCCAGCCGAGGTGCGGGCGTTAGGTACCCAGCAATTAGTGGTAGATTTTGCTGAAACTTGGTGTAGAGGGGTTGTTTGACATGCCTGACCACGACTATTTTCTCACTCTTTGCGATGGCGTCTTAGGTAGGGTTACGGTAGGTTTTATGGCAAAACAGAAAACTACGGTATTCGCAGTAAGTTTACCCAGGGAGGTTAATTGACGATTTGATTTAATTTGATTATCGCTTTCACTTGGCATAGGGACTTTAAATGCAATTTTGTGATCTGAATTGTCGTAGAATGCTATTTTGTGATCTAAATTGACGTAGAAAGGGGAAAATATGGGAGACGGTTTTTTCACATGGCAGCCTCCTACAACCACCCTGTCATAATCCATTGTCACGTCATGCACGCCGCAAATCTCTCCCCCCCCCTGGTCTGCTTAGGCAAAAGCCGCCGCAGGATGTGTCGCGCGCAGCGGTGGTCCTGGCGGAAAGCATTACAATCATGCGAATCGACCTACACCTGGAAAAAAATGTTTACTATGCACTGTAACTTACCGTAATTGTACAAGAAAGCGTTATTACGGCAAACAAGCGTGATATTACTTATCAGCATACCTGAAAAGGTATGGTAAAGTTAGGTAAAGTTAGGAGTGATTTTGGAACTTTGGCCGCTCTACCGTATACCCACCGTAACTCAAGAAAATGGCGCTATTGTGCGAAATCGCCATAAAATTCTTGATCAGAGAACCCCTCTAAACAAAGTTTTAGCGAAATCTGAGATTTTGAGCCCATACCGTATAGGTAATACAATAGTACCGTAGTCTTTGAATTGCGGTAAAGTTTGCGCGTGAGTAGGTGCAGTCTGTCCAAGCTTAATCCGGGCATAATCGGCATTACAAGAGTCGAGGTCCACGACTAACTTGTCTGTTCTCTCCTCCATGTTTTCCCAAAGCGGGCTTATGCAACGCGAACCACTAGCGCTGCGAATGCTCAAATTTGGCAAGCGGTTGGGCTTGATCCCGATTGGGACAGAGTGTAGCTAAGCCTGTAATTCTGCTCACTCGAAATGCCATTACTGTTGTCTCTACTCCTTCAAGCTCAAATTTAGCCGCAAAATGACGTCACAACAAGCATATATAATTAAATTACTAGATTATTTGTTCTTCAAATTGTTAGAGAATTTACTAGATATGATTACAGTGGTAAGTTTTATCTTTATAAAGGAGATTTGTGTATAAGCATGGATAAAATGTAAATTTCCCTTTAACAAAGCACAATAGTAAGAAATTGCTTGCATACTACATCGCATCAACGAAGGTACCATTCAAAATCCATCTCGTGGATTACACTGACGCTAACCAGGTTGCTTTAGGCCCAAGGCATACAAGCGATTTCAATCGCAAGCGATCTGGCAATTTGCCAGACGTTTCCAAATTCAATACTGGTACTTCCAAAGGCACAGGCGTATAAACCTTCGTTGGCTGACTAAATGCCCTATCTCATACATTCAGAAACCGCTTACGACCAGTTATGACCAATTGGAGTACTGTTAAATCGACTTAAATCGCGTAAGATATGTTTTCTGCCTTACCGAAATTCTGAATTTTGAGATAGTTGCGGACTGGCTTGTCATAGTAGATTCAGTGGCGGACTCGCTTTTCATAGTTTGACCAGAAACAAATGTGACGTGAATTAAGTTTTTTAAAAAATCGGTTAATTTCGGAAGATAGGTAGTATTTGGTAGGGATAGACTTGCGACAAGACTGGATTATAGGTCGTAAAAGGCACTTTTGGCCTACCGTAATCAAAATTAGGCGTGACGGTAATGTTGGCTGCACAGACATGTAACTTCACGCCTCGGCCTGTTACCGCGCGATATGCCGCCTCATCATTGGGATGAAAATAATGGCTTCCTTTGGTTTGGCTAATCCATCCCGAATATCTACTCTGTTTTCCCGTTACTTGTCTTTCCTCCTGGGGAGTGTTGCGAAGGAAGAGATTAGATTGTATCTTCTTGCTGCAATCACCGATGACATCGTTCACTGCTGGATACATGGTTAAGTGTGGCACCAAGATAAACAAGCTTCTTGCAACTACTACCAGAAACAATGCCCCATGAATGGAATTTTCTGAAGCTGACTTTTAGCAACAAAACAGCGCTCATAATGTAGATTTTAGTTACAATTTACTAATTACGCGCATAGATCTAGCTGTGAGGGCGTCCTTTGACATGTCATATGACTGCTATATACGAGTTCGATTGTCTTTACTTCCAAGTGAACTGTTTCATTTAGGCGACGTATAAGAATGTTTAGCTGTTCGCTTGTGCACCGACAAGATCTCGTTTTTGAGCTCTTAATCATCAACAAAGTTGACAAAAAAGTTTAAAGACCGGTCATGAACGAAAACGATACCTATACTCATTAAAGGATTCGTCAAATTGGAAAAACTACAACATACTTTATGTGACGTTTATCATCAGAAGATAAGCAGCGCAAAACAGAACTGATTATGCAGTGTCTTGATGTCAATTGAATACAATAACTTCCCTCTCCCTTTGACGGCTTTGTTACAGTTTACGAAGACTAGGATCACGGTCACTATAAAGCGTACCAATTTGGCGTCAATCGCCTGTCCTTGTTGCCATGTTAATCATTTTCGAGTGTCAAAACAGGCTAGACGAGCGTATCACCTTGTTGACTAAAAGACTTACACGGGAAGGATCATTGGTCCAAGTTCCCCTTAAGATTGAGTCGTACATACTTTTGAAGGAAGGAAGTTGATTTCCTATTTGTCTTCCTTGTCTGCGGAACACCTAAGGGTGAAGCTAGACCGTTTCAAAAATCAGAACGCACAACGAGGAAAAAAGTTTGTGTATAACAGCCTGTAAATTCCGCAGTCAGAGTTGTATTCGGGTCTGAGTATGAGACAGAAGCTGTTTCCCAGTATGGGTTTGAAACAAAAATTTCTTTGTAAAGAATGGTTTGACAAGCATTTCTGCTTCATCTTAACCCATGGGATGCTTCTGTTTACGATTTCCCTTTCTACGCCTTCCGATCTTCGTTACATAGCCGCTCCGCAGATAAAGAGGACAGATCTAGAAGCGGCTGATG